TGACATAATAACCTGCTCCGCAATGGAGGCCCGTCGACTTAAGGCACGGGCATGATTATCTTCCCTTGTAACAACAGCATCTCCAAGCTTAAGCTACAAGACGACATCCATACTTACGAGTAAATTGGCACGCTCAGTGAAAGAGCTTGTTTACGTTTTTCGGTCAAAATATTTTAAAAACTAATTAAACAAAGTTAAGCACTTTACTCTTACATATGTTATGTGTGGGTGTGTATTATTAATTTTTATTTATTTATTAAGTAAATTTAATTAATATAAAATGTATACATATTCTATCGAAATACCTTCAGGCAGTAGTGATATATTCTCATATTAGCATCATTGTAGTAGTTTTGTTTCTTGTTCATAGTAAGAGGAATTTACTTCTCCATTGCCCAATCACTGCAATCCCAAATGGTAATATTGATTCTATGTAGGATTTCATGGCAAGCATTGTTGTTGGTATTCCAATATAGACGAAATTGTTTACGAACTCAATGAGTGAGTTGGGAGCTAAGAACCATTCGCTCCGCTTTGTTGTTAGCTAGCGGTACGGTTGTTGAGGCCGATGACTAAAAAAAATCATTTAATTTTTCTAAAACAAGATCTCTGACTCTTTTATTTAGTTAAAACTATACCCCATTTGAATTACCATCATTTGTAATTGATAAGAGGAAATTAATTCAATAATAAGTCCAATTTTTTTTTTGAAAAATTCCTATTGTTCGTGGTCTTTTTGGCATGCATTGATTAAGCGTGTTCAATTAACCTACAACAGTATATTTTTGTTGCTGCTTTCAATGCCATTTTATATTGTTCTTTGAAAGTTTGGGTGCAAAATGACACAACTAAAGCTATTTTGAGAAAATCTCATTTTCCTGCATTGTTTTCGGAAAAGCCTTCCATACGAAAGCAATTACACGTATTTACATCAATTAATGTTTTATTATGCAATATATGGATGGATATCGAAATCGATAGTAGAATATATCAATACAACAAGTGGGTGAAAATATTATAATTTTTGTATTTACACTCATTTTAAAATATTTATGTCATTACCTGCTATACGAGTACATACATATATATCAAGACTTATATATAAGGGGATGACAACCGTTGCAATTGCAGAGCTGAATAGAAAAGCTACAATCTTCTATAAGTGTGTACAGATGCTGGCGTAGGCCGATGATCGTTGACAACATCTAATAAGTCGGCGTTAGGAGTTTTCGAGAGAAAAATTTTGGGAAGGGTTAGTGGTTATCTACGCTTTGGCAACGATGAATACCAGAGCCGATGGAATGATGAAGTGTATGAAATAAATGGCGACATTGACATGGTTCAGTGAACGAAGAGACAGCGGCTACGCTGACTGGGTCACGTACATAATTGAAATGAGCTCAAATTACCTTGGAGAATAATAGGTGAGCCAATATAAACGATGAATATGAATACCTAGTCATTCTAGGTATATCTAGTGAATTCAAAAATTTACACTCTCATTTTCACCAACAACAGTATCGATTGGTTTTAAAGACATCAGATCGCCTGGAAACAACTGTTGTATCTGGAAGCACATTTTTGGCTGCCTAAAGCGCCTTATGACTCAGCAACTTATGATTGAAGTAAGTAAGTAACGTATCTGCAGACAAAAAAAGGAAGAGACCAAGATAAGTATGTATTAGCATGAAGATCTTAAGAAGCTGGCCGACAAGGATAATGCAAACAAATACGGCGACTTATAGAAGGTTCCAAGGCCGGAGCAGATTCTTGTAGTGATCTAGTGACGTATGCCCAGAGAACACTGAATTTATGGAGAGCACATTTCTCTAGCCTGCTGATTGGCAGTGAAAATGTGACGCTCGCAGAAGGTGAACCCAAAACTCAAATTGACGATGATGGAAAAAATGATCCATTACCAGACTATGAAGCTGTCCAAATAGCAATCTCCCGGTCGGGGACCGATGGATTACCAGGCTATTCAAATACTGAGGTGAAGAACTAATAAGGTGCGTGCATCAGCTTCCATAGCGTGTGATCAATATTTTGGACGACATGAATTAAATTACACCAACCGCATAAGTGTACACATTTTTTGGAGCTTATGAGCATTTTATTTGTGAAATGCCAAATTTTTTAGATTCAAAAAATTCCCCAGGAGACTTAAATATCCAATTTATATTGGCCTTTAAGAAATAAATCTGGTCTCATCCTTGAAAACGACGTCCATCTTTATAATCCGATTTTAAAACCGATATGGAATCCAGTTATGGAGTACAGCTTGCGCGACAAATTTTGATATAAAACATGCGTTATTTCATGCGCACCATCAAAAAAGGGATTGAAATCTTTGCACAAAAATATATAGCAAAACTGCACAATCATCCAAACCCTTTTTCTAACCCCTTGGGCTCCGCAACCAGTCAAAGACGCCTGAAGAGAAGGGACTTAGTGCCTGGTAAAGAGCAAGAGTCAGCAGTCCATTCATAGCCAATAGGCTATTATATTTTAGTTTAGTTTTTAAGACTTGAAAACTTCTTGTGAGGCTTCTGATATTGACGTAGATTCAGTAAACAAATACAAATGTTTCAAAAAAGGCTCCACCTCACATTTTCAACAAATTTGTAAACAATTGTGTCCTCAAAATCAAACAAATAAATTGTGAGTAATTCAATATTTGCTTAGATTAACCATGATTGATTGATTGATTGATTTTTATTCTTCTATGGCACAATGTAGACAAAGGGACTTCCATTTGTGCTTGTGCATATGTTATGAGTGCATTAAGGTCTTATGGCTTACTTCTTGGCCAAGTCATCTGTGTACATTGCAGCTCGAAAGCCATGAGCCAAGCCAAGTTGGTTACCTTGGGTATTTGCAGGAGAACGGTCGAAATGTACAGATCCAAAAAATTAAGCATTTTTGCTCAAAGCGAATTAGATTTTCAAAATTTAACAAAAATTGATGAAGAAATTATAAAAATTAAAAAACTGTAAATGTGGCATTTCTTGCCGACACATATAAAAACTTTTATTGGGGAAAGGCTAAAAGAAACAATTGATGCCGAATGAAGTTATTAATTTCACTGCCTTAAATATACTTTGGTTTTACTGCAGTTATGTTACGTATACGCCCCGATACCAGTTCATCAAATGAATGGTTGAATGGCTATGAGAAGTAAAGTGTAAAGACAATCAGAAAAGAAACAAATCGACAGCTAACAGTTTTATGGTCGAAATAGTGTTTTAATTTCGTCAAATGTGAACACAAGCGTTCGGAGGTGATCCCTCCATTTGTCGAAAAAACATCAAGACGCTAGCCAAAAATTAAAAGAGAAGCTCGGTCGAAAGTAACTAATAACAGGCGCACCGTGGCAACGATCTTAGCATCTTTCTGCTGAGCTCTGAAGTAGAAAGAAGAAAAGCGAAGCCATTTGGCTAATGCTTTGTGTAACAAGTATAGCGACTTTAGCAAAGAAATGTTCTCGCTTCCTAATGATAGCTAGCACGTTTTGAATTTAACTTTATGATAATTATACCTACTGTTAGGTTTAAGTAGATTTAATCGGAGTTTCAAAAAAAATAGGTTGAAAATTAACAAAACAGCGCATATAACCAAATTGGTTATGGAAAACTTCATTTAATAATGTTAGCAAATTAAGTAGTAAGTTAATATATTTTATTTGTTTAGACTTAGTATGTAGCTCCCGAAGAATAAAAGAAAGCTGAGCTCAAACAGCAGGATGGTAAAGGTGACCGAAGCATAATAAACTTAAAATAGCCATCTTACTCTTTATTTTATAACTCTACTTTATTTTTTTTACCATTTTATTATCTTGGCTTATCTGCTGTTTATAGTAGTTCTTCTTTCCTGTTACTCACAATGAAAAAATGAAAGACTATGAGTGTTATTATTAGAGAAATATGGCTTTAACACCGCCAAACGGAAGTTGTTGTCTTTAACTTAAAGATGGTAATGTGGCATACTCAGCAAGTCGGAAAGAATTGCAGCTAATTGCAGAACTGATGAAACGTTTGATATTATTTTACATGAAGACTTAATTGAAAGCCATATTGTTTATAAGAGTTTTTTTTAAAGATCATGTAATTTTTGAGTATTTGTATGAACACTTCCAATTTGTTTCTATTCATGAACAGTCGGAAAAAATTGATTAAATTTACGTAATTTCTGATCGTATGATTTTAAAATTTATCACTACTGTAGTGATTCGATTTGCACTTAGCTGTTACAATCTATCTTATGAGGGCGTCATGCAAATGAAAAGATACCATCGGTTACTGATGCCATCGTAGAAACCAGCGGCGATTTGATGTTTTCGATAGAACATACTCAGCTGGTTGCTTGCTATTATGAAAGGTTTTATTACAAAAATTTAGATGAACTAAAAAACTATACATTTTTCCAAAACTAAGGTATGCTGAAAACGTAACTAATTATTTATTACCATATGAAATACGTTCGCGAAAATTAAAATGTTGTTTTAAAGTACTAGTAAGTATTGTACTAAGATTCCGCCACTGCAGCACTGTATACCTAACCCCATTCCAGCCGGGTACTAAATTTAATAATTTTTTTTTACTATTTCCTATAAAGCCCTAAACTTTATATTTGCGTAGTGGAACTGCTGGCTTGACTTCGTTTCGTATCTCGCCATCACAGTCCGGGCAGAGATATATGTAAAATGGTGAGTTGCTTCCAAATGTGAAAAGTTAGAAAGATTAATATGAAAATTTTATGATTCGATACTGCAATGAGCATTGAAGTATATATTCAATTTCCCAAAACTCCTCCAAAATAACTCATATATGCCCTCAGGACGTATAACTATTTGAGTAATGTTCTCTTCACAAAAAATGTCTATTTACTTTTAGCACAAAATATGAGAAGTTTAAGCATTTATTTATTCATTTAGATTAAGAGTAAGAAATATCAGAAAGAAATACATCTTTTTCTTTAATACAATAAAATTTGCATTCGTTTCTTCTGTTTGCTGTTTGGCGCCAGTTGGAGATACGAAGACCTGGCTGTACTTCGTATCTTCAATCTTTTTCTACCATATCTTTCCAACGGAGTGAAGGTCTTCCTCTTCCTCTGATGTCATCGTCCATGTCTCCGCACTATAGAGTTTGGCGACAGAGGACAATACTTTTTATTTATCTACTCAGCCCAAAGTTGCACCTGTTGGTATAAGTGTTTCTGCGCTGGATTTAAAGAGTGACATTGTTCCAAGATAGACAAAGTTATCCACGACTTCAAAGTTGTGACTATCAAGAGTGATAAGTAAAAGAAGTAACAATATAAGGAATTACCTTGTTTGAAAGCTCGTTTGGTATCGAACAAATCGGTAAGGTCTTTTTCCAATCCTGACGAAGCTTTTAGTGTTTTTTAACGTTACTTTACACAGTCATGTACGTTTTGCAAGGATACCGAAATCAGAGATTGCGGCGTAGACGCAGCTCCTTTCCGTGCTGGAAGAGAAAGAAAAAAGGAGTTTGAACAAACGAAAACTAATATAAAATAGGTAAGGAAAATGGAGGATAGGTGGAGCCGAGCAATAGATACTCGAATGATATTTATATTAGGCCCATATAACGGCCAAAAAAAGGCTTGTTAAATGGAAGACAGGGCTATACGAACCTAATCGGTTTTTTTGGTTCTAGACGTAGTTTTTTCCGGTTTACAGCAAATATTTGTTTTACGTTCACGCTAGACCATCATATTTTATTAAATTCTATGAAGATATTATTTATTATACACACTCATCCGAAAAATTTTTCAGATAATCAAATTTTTCAATTCATCAAAGTATCATATTTGAATAAATCATTGTATGGGGGCAATATTTTGGTTTTACTCATTTACTCGTTTGGGTACAAGTGGCCGAACAGACGGACATAAGGGCACGGCTAAATCAGTTAAAATCGCACATTTCATGCCCATGAAATGTATAAAAACAAATAACATGAAATGAACTACAAATAAAAAAATTGAAAAAAATAATGATGGAAATTAAATAAAATTACATGAAATAAATTTATATAGGTAAGGCAAATAAAATATAATAAATTAATGGAAATGATTCATTGATAACAACATATTTTCGCAAGTGAAATCCTATTTCAGCAATATTTTATTCTGAAATTCCTTGAGGAAATAAAATGACCGATTTGCGACCATCATATATTAATTTGAAGATCTCTTATATTATATTAGCGGCTGCGTTCTTAGGTAAACCGAATGTACTTTCCTAGAATATTGTTTTGAGAAAAAAATAAAAACATGTACATATACACATAATGAAACTATAGACAAATATGTTTCATATTTTCTTTAAGCCACAGCTTTGAACTGTATTCAAAGAAACTTGAAAAGGATAATGCTTACCACGTAGCTTTAGGGACTAAAAGCACTTTAATTTTAGTATTTAAATAAATTTTTCATGAATTGTGTATTTAAAAGCATTTGAAAATCCACTTAATTGATGATTTAATATTATTTTTAAAATTAAAATTAAATTGAATTTTATATTAATTGAATTTAAAAATTAACAGTTGAAATGGATTAAATATTAATCATGCTTGAATTTCGCATTTATAAAATACTCGATTAAAGACTTCAATTTGGTAAATTTAAACGATTAATTATTTTGGTTAGATTACTATCTGGCATGTTTACACGTTAAACACAAATCCACAAATCACTGAGTTACACCGTTGTGTAATCAATACAACAATTTGTCCCACACAGTTGGAGTAAATTTCTAATGACAGTGCCAACAAACCAAAACCACTCCCAGTATTCATTCTATTATTGGAAACCCCTAAAACGCTAGGACTAACTACACAAAGCGGAAGCTATGGTAATGATTAGGGAATTCTATGGACGAGACACTAGCTTCCGCTTTGAATGAAAAATCTCCTCCTCACCACATCTTTGAGTTAAAACACTTATATGACTTCGATAAGAATAGCTTTTTCTGAGAAATCTTTTGATGTTTTGAAAATTAATTTGAGCGCACATACATACAAGCACAAGTTAAACCATTTGAAGGACGTCCAGCGCCCCAAAATCATTTACAATCACTTTTGTACCAACAATAAAATTCTCGCACGCATTCCCTTTTCACAGACACTTAATCAGCAGACAACCAACCTTCTTGCATTTACACACAACATAAGCTCGCTCCTGTTAGCCACATAAAAAGTGGGCGATGCAACACGACTCCCTTCCACGCCGAGCACTTGTTTGTACTGTCAAGGTTTTTTACGTTCACTGCACTTTGCCTTCCGTTATTGATAAGACGTCACTTAAGTTTTTGCATCAAATATCAACCGACAGATGACTTTTAATAAGCGAAGCCGGTCTACACGCGTAAACGCCGAGACGACTACTAATGATCATTCTGTCCAGCAATGCGGCCGATGGTCTTCCCTTTACTCCTTGGACTCTCGCATTTGGCATGGGTGAACAAGAATTTGTTTTTGAGCTCGCGCTATCTGCCTTCGAGTGTCTATAAGGCAGTGCGGCCAAGTGAAAATGTCGCGCTCTTTGATATTCTTTCTGAATGAATGGTTCGTTGTTCGCTTAGAGTATTTCAATGAAAGAGAGCAAGACTGTGCAGGTGTGTGTCATCCACGTGTGTGTTAAAAAAATGAATTAAATATTAAATTTCTTTAGTTTGCCCCAAAGCAGATATCAAGGTAGAGTAGCAGGCATGTTACTCTCTTCTAGAATGAAATTCCTTTCCACTGGCTTTGGTTTTCGTTGAATAACTGGTTAAGGTGGAGTGAAAGTCTGTATCTGCCTCTGAGATTTATTAATTTATAATTAATTAATCGGTTATCAATGAATAAATTATCACTCCATGTAATTTTAACAGCAAACCTTAGAGTTACGCTAGTTGCGTACCACATACACGTACATAACATATATGTATATATGTATAACTATTTATATGTAAATACATATATTGTCGAAGTGAAATTCTATTAAGGAATACTGGCAGCTAATATAATCCACCAGCCATTATAATTATCAAGCGAACACCTTTATATATACATTCGTATACATATGAACATAAATAATTAAGTAAAATGAAGCGCTGCTTTTAGAGAGATTTCAAAGTGATTTTCGCTGAGATTAAATTAAAATTCTTGTAGTGTCATTTGGTATTTTTCAATCCTTAAAAAACATGTACAAAGGCCTTGGCGTGGTTCGTGCTGCTTTGGTGCATCGCAAGACCATCGCCAAAGGCAAAATGATATTGGCTTGCCCTGTAGCAATACGTATATATATAATGCAAAAAAATTTAGCAATTTTAATGAAATTATTCAGCACCACACCAATGACTCCACTTTAGCGTCATTTTAAGGATTCTCTACAGTACCGACTGAAAGAAATATGAACGTACTATAGTATATGGGGCTATTTATGTATTTAGAAGTGCATGCAATTGTTATTCGCCTAAATTTACATATGTATATTAAAATTTCTGAAATTTAGGGAACCACAAAATTCACGTTTTGAATTTTATGCTTGAGCATTTAAACGGAATAAAGTAGTACAAGGCGAATGAAATCGTGAGTATCATAATTAGGAACTAAAAAAAGTAATAATACATTAATAATTGACTTGACCCCTAGTTAGAATTTTCGAAAAATTTATTTTGGAATATCTTACGACGCGTCAGATCATTTGAAAGCGGTAAGCCGGTGAGGCGCATCGTTTTCTCAAAACTATGTTTTTAAAGCCGGTGACCACGATTTCTCTGGAACAGCTAAACAGATTATTTTTAGTGCATAATCGCAGCTTTTCCATTACCTATGAGAAGTTTTTTATTAATGCGCAATTCAAGACCAAAATTATGGAGAAAAATGGAATTTTTTTCAAGGAGCCGCCATTTTGTCAACTAAATTGTTTTTGGCTTATTCCTTAGACTAATCACTATATTATAAATTACTCTAACGAAATCTGTTTGATTTTTCATTTATTCAAATCAAAAATTGTAATTTTTATAAATAACCGTTGATGCTGACAATTATTAAAATTAAAAGTTGGGTCACAGTATTTTTTTATAAAAGATCGGGATTTAAATTAAAATCTCTCTATCTAGCCAACCATCTTAGGAGCAGTTCGAAGAAAATACTTTTAAAAGTGTCCTATTAGGAGTAAAAATTCAAGGATATTTAATTTTGACTCTCATACAGGAGCGTTTGAATGAAAATATAAAGTATGTATATGTACATTTATTTGGCGCAGCTTGTGGTCTGCTTCTTGATGTTTTTCGAACGAAAGGAGAAAACTGCAGTTTATTTAAAGACTCATCCAAACGGCTTATGGATTTTTAGGAGAAGCTTTTATTTCATGTCAGAAATACACTCGGATTGCTCGAGTTCTCTGCCGACGACCAAAGCTGGAAAAACAATTTTTTTTTATAATTTTGGATGATTGTCGCACCTGTACTCAAACTCTGGCCTTACAAATGGCAGTATGCAACGCTAGCTACTAAGTTTTTGTCATTATTTTCAAATATTTATATTTGAATAAATTGTATGTTAATGAAATTAAAATGGCTCTTACTGAAAGAAATTGGATGCTCTTAGTTTCATTTAAAAAAAAGAAATACTCATTTTTCTGAGAGACTTTGCTATTATTATTATATTATTTTATGATGCTCTTAATGAATGAGAAAAAAGTACGTACGAGTCTATTTGACCTTCTTAGGTGCATGAGATCTCCGATTTAATTTTTTACGGCAGATATAATTTTTTTATTCTTAAGCATAAGGTTTTGCTTTCCAAAGGCTTCAGTGGGCTGAAAATATTTAGGACTAAAAAGATAGAAGGTATAAGTAAATGAGAACAAGAGAAATTTCAAAACTATAATTTGGAATTGATCTTCATTTAAATGCCGATGTTTTTATTCCGAATTGTGCTTTATATCTTTATTTTGCTATACAAAACCAGGATTGAAGCGACCGGCGAATTATTTTCTAATAAAAAAATTATTGTTATTTTGCATTTATTTCTTCATCATAAAAAAATGCATCAGAGTCTGCGTCTTCCATATTTTCGTCTTCATCTTTACTTTGAAGTATGGAATGGAGAAATTATAAATATATAAAATTAAAATAACTTTGCCAAAAATTTCCATCAAATCTTCATATCATACCTTACTAGCAGTAGGTTTATAGTTAAAGTAAAAGATTTTACCTCAGAGGAGTGTCTAATAATGGCTGGCGTTCCTCTAGGGAGCGCTTTGGGACCAATACTGGATGTCCTATTAACTGCAGACATTCCGACCGCTATTTTGTGTCGGAGAAAGCGTCAAATCAAAGCCTCAAACACCCTAGAAAATCACTTAAACCTCGTTGGGATTTGCCTGCCACACTGGCGCATAGAAGAAAACGAGCTTACACTTTTGCCATAAAACAGAAGCATGGTCAATACTGAAACTAAACAACGTAATGGTCCCTAAAGAAAGCAAAGTAAAATACTTCGGCAATCACCTAGATTGACGACTTACCTGTAAGAGCCGCATCTGTGCTAAAATACAAACCGTTGAAAGTTTTTCAACAATTTTTTGATATTGTAGAATATTTTCTTAGCACTTTTGAAAAAGGTATTCATTAAGACATTCATATTCAGTGTACAGAATATTCTGAGTGTTGCTTTTCAACTCCAAATTGATTTGTATGTAAATAGTTTTGTTGAAATTTCTATAAATAGCAAAGTTATTCAAAACATAACATATTAAAAAAAGTAATAATCGGAATTTAATAAAATATTTTGATAACTTAGCTTAGAAAAATTTACTATACCTTCTATATCACCTGGTTATTCAGAAATCAATGGTGAATTTCAAGAAAATTTAAATTATTGTCAAAATGTTTAATAAATGTTAGATAGTTGATTCCGTCAATGAAACAAGAGTATTGTTTAATGAAATATTTCATTATAACAAGTATTTTTTATGACATCACCTACATATGTGTATAAATAATAAGTATTTTGCAATATTAAGCCGCTCTTATCAATTTGCATAATCACATTCGTTTATTAAAATTCGTGAAATGCATACATTTAAGTAGGTTCGTATGTATGTAAATTAATTGGTAAGTAAGGTAAGAATAAATCCGAGTCAAACCGGTTTTTACACTTGATATTTCTGTTAGGTATGTCCAAGCCGCCTGGAACTTAACTCCTTCACTCGGCAGTCGAAAAGCTGAAACAGTCTCTCCCTTGATATCAGCGAAAGCAGAGATAAACTAAAACCCAAAAAAGCACCATTATATTAGATAATAACTGTACTATCTTGACTTACTTCTTCAAAGCAAAAATTAAAAGGGTATTATTTCTTAAAATGATCACTAAACCCGGTAAAACAGCCAATAGAGTAGAACTAAAGGGTGATTTTTTAGCTATTATCCCTTTGACAGCAACTGACGCATATATTATATATGTGGAAACTTTGTCTTTTTTTATACATTTTAACATGATATTAGTTAGTTAGAGTTTAAAGCTACTTCTAATAAAATAAAAATAAACTCTAGTGTAAAATATGAAAACGTAAGGCTGGGATCTCCAAAATTACTCATCAGATTATACTGAACTTGTTTTATTTTGTTTGTGTATATAGATGGTTCTTTGCTTAGATTAGCGGGAAGACTACTTTTCTCTCCAGGAGGTGGACCAGAGACCGAGAAATGGATCACCGAAAGATTGAGAAGAACTAGTGTTACTTGAATATACATTTATACATATAATGAATATAGTGGTTAAGTACGTTGCCTGCAATATTAATCAGGAGATGCAAGTTATAAGCTATTCTCATACGTTTACTTTATCCTAATGATGCTTCAGTTGAACTAACGACCCGATGTAATTTCGTTTTGTAAATAAGAAAAATATATTTATCAAAGTAGTTTTGTATCGTTTCAGCGCCATGTTATTGAAATGAAAATAAATTTCGGAAGATTGGGACCGCACAAAATAATCGTTAATTTAAAAATCGCTGCTTGCTATGATTTAATAGAGCGCTTCAGTTTAACGTTTAACATTACCTGTTAACGATTTAACATAAACGACAGCGTTTCGCTTCTGGTAATAACAGAATGAAATTTATCTTGATAACTGCTTTAAGTATAAAATTTCCAAATGTTTCAAACGAATCGATTTAAATAATTTGATTAACGTGAAATTTACCATACTGATATTGATAGGCGGCCGTGGTAGCCGAGTGGTTATGTCCACCACTCCGAGTGTATTTTGGACATGAAATAAAGCTCCTCATGAAAAAACCATCAGCCGTTCGGGGGTGGCTTAGTATAAACAGTAGGCCCCTCCATTTGTTGGAAAAACATCAAGACGTAAAACCACAAATTGGAGG